ACACGGAAAGGTTTCTTTACGGTGAGAGCTGTGAAAATGTGGAATAGACTCCCTCAAGAGTTGGTTCTGGCCAGCTCAGTGAATTGCTTTAAAAAAGTCCTGGATTCTTTCTAAGATACACAGAATATAACTGGATACTAACATTTATAGGTAAAGTTGATCCAGGGAATATCTGATTGGAAGGAATTTTTTCCCCTGCAGGAGCAAATTGGATCATGCTTTGCTGGTTTTTTTTGCCTTCCTCTGGATCAACTGTGGGTATAGGATTATAACTTTTTTTGTCTGTTTTTTTTTTATGGTTGAACTGGATGGACTTTTTGTCTTTTTTCAGCCAGACTAACTATGTAACTAGCAGTACAGTGACACTGTACTACTTGTGGGGGGTGATGAAGATTTTTGAGAAATACTGTGAAAGCTGTGATTGGTCTCAGCTTGTCACATGGTACAAGGCTGTTATGAATATCCTAGTACCATGTGACCTCTGACCATTCACAGATTTCACAAGTAGTAAGCAATGATGTCAGGAAGTGACATCTTGTTTATTACTGCTCATGTGATCACTGATTGGCCAATCAGTGATCACATGAATCAGGACCTCACACAGAGGCCCCGGAACCGGATTGCACTGTACAGGCAGTGAATGCAGATGACCCTTAGAAACGTCAACCCACTTCGGCAGTGCTCCCGTCCGGCCGTTTATAGACATGGGCTGGACGGGAAGTGGTTAAAAAAAAAAGAAAAAAAAAGAGTGGTTCAGGAAAATACTGTATTATAGCCACCAGATGGAGCTGATGATCATCAGTATTTGTTTGCTATCATCATTAGCTCCAACTAGTGGCCATAATGCAGCATTTTCACAAAACCACTATTTTTTTATGCATGTATAACATTCAACCTGTAGAGAAAATACCTAGAGAACAGTTGATTTTTGCCCTATTCGTAAAAAAAAAAAACCCCCAAAAATGAATGTATCAGCAGTTTCGATTAACAATTATCTATGCATTTTTTAAATACACCAATATGTGTGTCTTCAGTTGTCCAGCTATGCAATTTAAAAAAAATTAATCTGTACCTAAAACAGCTTTGGGAAGACTAGTGCTATGGGCAGGGGCGTATCTGCCGCGAGGCAAACAAGGCATCTGCCTTGGGCGGCACTTTTCAGGGGGGTGGACCAGTGCTGTCGCTGAAAAGGGCTGTTCTTGGCCAGGGGGGCGTGCTCGGGCGGGTTCGTGTGTGTGCTCAGCGGCGAGGAGACAGAGAACCTGTCAGCTATGGAGCCGGCTGGAGAGGGGGCTGGGCAGCACATAGAGGACCGTGCATTTCTCTCTATGCTATGCCACCAGTCACCTCCCCTATCCATGTCGTGCATACGGTCAGCTCCTGTATGCTCCCCCACGGCCGCCCCCCCCTCTAGCACTGCAGGGGATCTGTCAGTATATGCAGTCCCCAGTGCTGACAGTTTCTCCCCCCTCACACAGACGGGAGAGGAGAGAGAAAGCTGTCCCTGCTCCTCCCACCCTCTCCTCCTGTGTCTGTCCCTCCCACACTTCCAGCCAGCCTTGTGTATTCTTTCCCCCTTCCCCCTCTCCCTCTCCCCCCCCCCTCTCTCTCTCCCCCCTCCCTCTCCCCCCTCTCCTCTCTCCCTCTCTCTTCCCCCCCCCCTCTCTCTCCTTCTCTCTCTCCCTCTTCCCCCCTCCCCCCTCTCCCCCCCTCTCTCTCTCTCTCTCCCTCCCCTCTCCCCCCTCTTTCCCTCCCCCCCTCTCTCCCTCTCCCTCCTCTCTCCCTTCTCCCCCCCTCTCTCTTCTATCTCCGCTCTCTCCTCCCCCCTCTCGCTCTCTCCCCATCTCTTTTTCTCCTCCCCCCCTCTCTCTCTATCCTCTCCCCCCCCCTCACTCTCTCCTCTCCCCCCTCTCTCTACCTCCCTCCTCTCTCTACCTCCCTCCTCTCTCCTCTCTCCCCCTCTCTCTCTCCCCCTCCCCCCCCCCCCCTCCTCTCTCTCTCTGATTGGTGTCAGTGGGAGGAAGTGCCCCATCATTAGTGCCAGTGTGGGAGGAATAGTGTCCCATCATTGGTGTCAGTGTGGGAGGAATAGTGTCCCATCATTGGTGTCAGTGTGGGAGGAATAGTGCCTCATCATTGGTGTCAGTGTGGGAGGAATAGTGCCTCATCATTGGTGTCAGTGTGGGAGGAATAGTGCCCCATCATTGGTGTCAGTGTGGGAGGAATAGTGCCCCATCATTGTTGTCAGTGTGGGAGGAATAGTGCCCCATCATTGTTGTCAGTGTGGGAGGAATAGTGCCTCATCATTGGTGTCAGTGTGGGAGGAATAGTGCCTCATCATTGGTGTCAGTGTGGGAGGAATAGTGCCTCATCATTGGTGTCAGTGTGGGAGGAATAGTGCCTCATCATTGGTGTCAGTGTGGGAGGAATAGTGCCTCATCATTGGTGTCAGTGTGGGAGGAATAGTGCCCCATCATTGTTGTCAGTGTGGGAGGAATAGTGCCCCATCATTGTTGTCAGTGTGGGAGGAATAGTGCCCCATTATTGGTATCAGTGGGAGGAATAGTGCCCCATTATTGGTGTCAGTGGGAGGAATAGTGCCCCATTATTGGTGTCAGTGGGAGGAATAGTGCCCCATTATTGATGTCAGTGGGAGGAATAGCGTCCCATCGTTGTCAGTGGGTAGAGCTCTAATAGGAAGAGGTGGAGCCTAAATAGGAAGGAGTGGAGTTTACAGATGAAATGGTGGATATTAAACAGGAAGGGGTGGGACAAATTTAGATGCGATTCCTATGCTATGACAGCCTCGATGACAGCTATGCTCCTGTCATCGAGGTCCTTCGCTCCCCCGCTAACCATTACACAACCTGATGTAGTGGTATGGTTGCCCCTGACTTTATTTTATCTTTCTGCTACAATCTGCAACAAATGATTATGGATTCTTAAATTGTCACTAAACCCAGGACCTTGCATTCACTATATCTGGTCTCCCACAGTACACAGAACATGGAAATGGAATATAGACTGCTAAATACCTTTTCAGATCAGCAGTATATAGCAGTCTTGTGACTACTATCTGTGTCCAGCAGAGCACTGGTTAATTTTGTAGGAGGAATTTTCATTCTCCCTTGATTGTCTTGTGAGACTGCATAACCTCTAACCCTCTATCTGGGCAGTGCTGATTGGCCCTGTGCTGATTACATGCACTCTCCCAAGAAAAAAAAACTCTAGCAATAGACACCAAACTGAGCATGTGCAGCTTGCTCCTAAGGTTCTGTTTTATCAGGAGATGGATTTGGGACAGTAGAAGAAGGAGGGGATCAGAGAAAACAGGATCAAACAGCCTTTTTACACAATGCAGAGGATTAACCCCTTAGGTTCCACAGTGAGTATAAAAAGCATGCTTTACTGCATATACAGACTGATTTTACTGTTGTGGGTTTAGTAACACATTAACCAGTTCCACGCTGCTCTATAGCAGAAATACTGCTACAGGGCAGTACGGGTGCACAAAATCACGTATATATACGTGATTTTGCAGTTCCGGGTAGAGGGCGCGTGTGGCCTTGGCTGTCAATCACCAGATCTCAGCCGGTGATTGCCGAGTATCTCCGATGGGGGAGAGACCTGTATATAAACACCGATCTCTCTCCTGTCAGCTCCTGCCAGCTCCTGCACACTGCTTTTGTATGGCTCTGCATAGCAGTGTGCCTACAGTGAAACACACAGCACACAGCCTCATAGTAAAACAGCACACAGTTAACCCTTTGATCTCCCCAGATGTTAACCCCTTCCTGCCCAGTGCCATTAGTACAGTGTTCGTTATTTTTATTAGCACTTATCACTGCATTAGTGTCACTGGGGATGTCAGTGACACCAAGTCAGTTACCCCCCCTCCCCCAGTGTCAGAATGCCTGCCGCAGTCCCGCAGTCCCAGTATAAGTCACTCATTGCCGTCATTACTAGTAAGTAAAAATTCCAGTGTCTATACCGCCATTTGTAAACGCTATAGCTTTTGCATAAACCTATTAATTTACACATATTGCATTTTTTTTTTTTTAGCAAAGACATGTTCCAGAATACAATTTGGCCTAAATTTATGAGGAAATTAGATTTTTTTTGATTTTTTTGCTGGACATGTTTAATAGCAAAAAGTCAAAAATATTTTTTTTTTCTCAAAATAGTATTTTTTTGTTTATAGCGCAAAAAATAAAAACCACACAGGTGATCAAATACCACCGAAAGAAAGCTCTATTTGTGGGGAAAAAATGGACATAAATGTAATTTGGGTGCAGCGTCGCATGACCACGCAATTGTCAAAGTAACGCAACGCCGTATCGCAAAAAATGCCCTAGTCAGGAAGGGGGGTAAATCCTCTGGAGGACAAGTGGAAAAGGAGGCCATCTGGTGCTCTTTTTGCTGACTTTGGAGTTTTCAAACTGGGAGGCCACTGCCCTTGGTAGAACCCCAGCTTTGTGGTAAGCCTGCCGAGCCCAGCTAACATTTCCTGCTTTGACTGAGAAAAGCTCCAAGACTAGCACACACATATACATACTGGATTTCTGGCAGGATCAACAGGTATTTAATATCAAACAGATATACCATGAAAAGGGTTTTGTTATATTTCACTGATTATATACACTCAACTGATAGCATTAATGTCATAACGCTGATCACTTTACACGTGTATCTAAAGAAAATCATTAAAAAGATTATTCATTCTCTGTAATGCTTGCTCCAGGCTCTTGCCAAGCAATCTCTGGCACTTCAGACGGATAATGTGTTTTAAGCTGAATAGCTAAAAATGAGAACTTAATTAAGTAAAGGCCTTGCAGTAAAATGAACAAAGATTCTGCCATGTACGAGCACAATTCATCCTCTGGTTATTCATTCTGCTCCCCAGGACAGGTCCTCTATACCCAGGAGAACATCTGAAGACACCAATTCTTACATACCTACTGAACACGTCTACTGAGCGTGCATAGTTCAAAGCTGTGCTCCAGGGGTGGACTGACCATTCGAGCACAGGGGCACTGCCTGAGGGCCCGGGGTCAGTAGGGGGCCCCATGAGATGCCCCTGGTACCTTTCATTGGCTTTTTTCATAGGCTTTTTTGGGTGTGGGCGAGGACACAGGGGCTCCATGATCCCCTATTGCCCGGGGGCCCCATGAGTTGTCAGTCCGCCCTGCTCTAGACATGCTGTGTCCCACCTATCTGTATTTTTCTGTTGTATTGCATTGTATCAGGTTACCATTGTTCTGTAGTATGCTGGCAACTAGTGCAGGTTTTAGGACACTATAACTTGTTTACTTATCTAATTTGGTATCTCCCTCTGTCCTCCCATCCTGTTTAGCGCTAGCTAGACCCTCCCTATTTCTTCCATGTTTCCTAAGTCAGTGTTAGACAGTACTAAAAGTCTTTGTTCTCTTCCAAGCTGCCTGTTAATAGTGGCAAGTCAGCGGGTGACCATACATATACTATATTTTTAAATACATTTCGTAAGGTGTAATGGTGTAAGCACTTGCATCTGAAGTAAATTGAAGTTCATTGTTAGAGTTTACATACACTTTAAATACAGAGGTTTTTGTTGCATACATTTTTGCAAATACAAGTAAAACCACACTGTCAAGCCTAGGCACCTCTGTAAAGCATGGTCTTTAACGCAAAACTCTTTGAGTTCCCCACTGTGAGACACATAAGGCAGTACAAAAATAAGAATTGTGAGATTCAGGAAAATACTGCAATTCGGCCACTAGATGGAGCTGATGATCATAGGAAATACTTATTTTCTATGAATGTCAATTCCATCTATTGATCAGTATTTTGCAGTATTTTCCTGAATCACACTATTTTGTATGAAGACTATCGTTAAACCTGGAGAAAAATCCAGGTGAATAAAGCCCCTGAACCGGATGGCATACACCCACGGGTCCTTAAAGAATTGAGCTCTGTCATTTCAAAGCCATTGTTTCTAATTTTTAGGGACTCTTTAATGACTGGCATAGTACCACTGGATTGGCGTAAGGCCAATGTGGTGTCAATATTTAAAAAGGGGTCAAATGTTTATCAAGTAATTATAGACCTGTTAGTATAAATTCTATAGTTGGGAAGATACTGCAGAGTTTAATAAAAAGACCACATAGATGAGTTCTTGCTGGAAAAAAATATTTTAAGCAACAGACAGCATGGATTCATGAAAGACAGAAGTTGACAAACAAATCTGATTTCTTTTTATGAGGAGGTGAGCAAAACCTTGGATAGAGGGGTGGTGGTGGACGTGGTATACTTGGACAGAGGGGGGTGGTGGACGTGGTAGACGTGTTATACTTGGACAGAGGGGTGGTGGTAGACGTGTTATACTTGGACAGAGGGATGGCGGTAGATGTGGTATACTTGGACAGCGGGGTGGCGGTGGACGTGGTATACTTGGACAGAGGGGTGGTGGGGGTATACTTGGATTTTGCAAAAGTGTTTGACACAGTTCCCCACACAACAATATAGGGTCTGAGATTACAAATCCCTTTTCAGTCTTTGCAGATGACACCAAGCTGTGCAGTGGAATAATGCCCTTACAGGATTTCTCCAATTTATAAGCCGACCTCAGTTCACGGTTTAATTGGGCAACTATGTGACAAATGAGGTTTAAAGTTGATAAATGTAAGGTTCTGCACTTGGGGGCTAAGAATATACATGTATCATACATACTAGGTACAACTGGGGGAATCAATGGTGGAGAAGGATCTGGGAGTTCTGGTACATCACAAGCTTAATGATGGCATGCAATGCCAAGCTGCGGTTTCTAAAGCGAGCAAAATCCTCTCTTGTATTAAAAGTGGTATAGACTCCAGAGAGAGAAATATCATATTACCCCGGTACAAATAATTAGTAACACCTCATCTGGAATATGCAGTTCAGTTTTGGGCGCCAATTCACAAAAAGAACATTGGGGAACTGGAGAAAGTACAGAGAAGGGCAACCAAACTGATACGAGGCATGGAGGAGCTCAGCTATGAGGAAAGATTAGAGGAACTGAATGTATCCTCTCTTGAGAAGAGGAGATTAAGGGGGGATATGATTAACATGTATAAATACATCAGTGGTTCATATAGTGAACTCGGTGTAGAGCTATTCACCCTGAGGTCATCACAGAGGACAAGGGGGCACTCTTTACATCTGGAGGAAAAGAAATGTAATATCCAAACACAGAAAAGTTTCTTCACAGTTAGAGCTGTGAAAATGTGGAATAGACTCCCTCAAGAGTTGGTTCTAGCCAGCTCAGTGGATTGTTTTAAAAAAAAAGTCCTGGATTCTTTCCTAGACACACAGAATATAACTGGATACTAACATTTATAGGTAAAGTTGATCCAGGGAATATCTGATTGTCTCTCGGGGGGATCCGGAAGGAATTTTTTCCCTGCAGGAGCAAATTGGATCATGCTTTGCTGGGTTTTTATTTTGCCTTCCTCTGGATCAATTGTGGGTATAGAATTATAACTTTTTTTTTTTGGGCTGAACTGAATGGACTTTTGTCTTTTTTTTCAGCCAGACTACCTGTGTAACTATGTAAAAATTAGCCTAATATCATTAATTTTTGCCCTCTGTTCACACGAAACGTGAATGAATAGCTCTGCATTTATTTTGTAATACATCGCAAGGGAAATGTACACATAGGCAAGGTAATATACTGAGCATATCTATCTATCTATCTATCTATCTATCTACATATATATACATATATATACACACCCACATTCAGTATATACTGTATATATAAAAAAAATAAAAATACACATATTTCATGAAAGTAGTATAATAGGCCTATGCTGCTTATACCACATGCTGTTTAAATGTATGAACAGTACATTCAGATATGAATACAGTTATGCTATAAAGCGTTCCACTTTCCACCCACCTGTCCCCATGTGTCAGCTAATAGGATGTAATGAGTATGTGCATGTCGGAAGACTGATGATATTACTGTGTTTGTGCCTCTGAATGCAGCCGTTCACCCCTTCCCTCCCCAGCTATCATCCCTTGCCTTAGTGTTTGCAATCAAGCAGCACATCGGATGCGCCATGAAATCAGCCGACAGTAATGAGTTTTTATCCTTACAGATTAGGTTAATATTGTTGTATTCTATTGCACATTGTATTTCTAAGACATTTGAAGAGCTGTCTATGGAAAAGCTGCAGATGTTGTCAACAGATGGTAAGTCTAACTACTTTGCTAAAGCTGTCTTTACACCAAAAGATGTGGTCACCTAAAGGGGCAGGCCATCCAATAGGCGACCACATCACTTAACGGTGGATTATGAAGGGTTGTCACCCACTGACTTATCATAAAGTGACCTCACTCCTGTCCCCAAGTCTTGTGCTTGCTTCCTTGTTTACCATTATTTGAAAATGATGGAAAAACCCAACAAGAAGAGTGCGACTCACATATCATGATGAAGGTAGGTAGGTGGAGCTGGAAATTTAAGAACTGAGACCTCGTCATTAGGGTTCCTGACAATTGGGTAATGTGATGACTAACCAAAATTGAATTATCTTTTATAATGAACAGAGGCAAGTCCATTTATTTAAAATGATTTACAAAATCTCCCACTATTTTGAGTAGTAATCCACAGCTTCTTTAGCAACAACAGTGGAATCCCCCAGCCTCCTGTCTTCTTTACATGGTGGACAATGTTTTATACCATATTTTTTTGCAGGTAGCACTGCAGGTGTATTCTGTATTTGCAGCTGCCATCTTTGTTAAGGACACCTGTAGTGAGTAGGGGTGAGTTCCCCGGTTCAGTCTGAATCCATGTTTGGACCTAATTGTCAGGAATCAAGGAATGACCAGAAAGGTGTGGACTGGCACAGGGAAACGCAGGTCTTAGGTACAATATAATACAGGTTATTATTAGCCACCCAGATATATATCTATATAAAACGCACAGTGAGCAAACCAACCTTCCACTAATCTTTAGGAGGTGCAGGAACACAGGCGTAGTCAGGGCTGGAGAGGTGGAACGGTCAGGCCGGCCGTAGGGTTCTGTAATGACCGTTTGGTGGTACCTCTAGCGGTCCTCAGGGCAGGATTCCCCAGGGCGCGGAGTCTAAGCCCCAGTCTGCCTTTTCACCAGAGCCCCTGATGGTGGGGATGGACTTGGCGCAGGACTGAGACCAGGTCGCGGCCCCTGAGTACACCTGCTAGTGGTAGGGGGATCCGCCAGAGGTATGTGCAGGTACGGCTGGATCCGTGCAGGATGGATGGATGGCAGAGTAGTTAGCGTGGTCAGACAAGCCGGGTCGGTAACGGTGGAGGCAGATCAGTACAGAGCAGCAGGCAAAGAGTAAATGGGTCACAAGCCAAGGTACAGCAACAGGAGGTCAAACAGCATAGGAGTAGGCAGAAGAATAGTCAGGGATGAGCCAGTAGTCAGAACAGGAGATGGTCAACAGAGATCAGGATCAAGCGGGTCAGCAACGAAGCAGGAACACAGGGTACAGAGGCTCATGGGAAACCATACACCAGGGCCCAGAGCACAGACCTGGTCATGCCTTATATACACCTTTCTGTAATCAGCCCAAGGTTTGGCTGATTGTGAGCTTCTGGCTGCTAAGAGCACCCGCTGGTCAGCTCTGGTACTGCAGCCCATACGGCAGGCGAATCCCACCACCAGTGCTGAGAGCACCCGCTGGTCAGCTCTGGTACTGCAGCCCACACGGCAGGCGAGTCCCACCACCAGTGCTGAGAGCACCCGCTGGTCAGCTCTGGTACTGCAGCCCACACGGCAGGGGAGTCCCACCACCAGTGCTGAGTCCATTCCTGACACTAATGTTGCTTGTTTGGAGGTTTGGCGATTGGCCAAGCAAAAAGAGTGCTCAGCCAACCTGAACCTCTGGCTGGGAAGTGAAACATTTAGGAGCAGTATTACTACTTCTGCTAAACTTTAAAGTACTCTACTTATGCATGTTGTTAGGGAACCACCAGCAGCCGCCAGCATCCTAACAACCAGTGACACATACCTGCCCATTTAGCTGTTGACTAAGGATTCAGGTCTGATATGGATTTTAAGGGGGGACCCACACAAACAAAAACAAGAATAAAATATGTGGATCCCCAGAATCCTTACTACGCCCTTATCTGAACAGGTAGCCTGCAAGCCGGGTAGGGGGTGGGGGGGGTGAGTGAGCATGTACCCTTGTCTCCTGATCCATACTGGACCACATTCCCTCAACATGGTGGGTACCTTGCCATG